GATAGAAAACCATCAAATACTGTTTACGGGCTAAGTGCTATTCTTTTTAAGGTCTTTTACAGTGATTGATTCTGTAGAGAAGACCACAATATTAATTAAATATTACTTCCTATGTGCCAAAATAATAATTTTACTATATTGTCATACTTTATAGTGTGAGATCTCTCTGTGTGGCTGAGCTACATAGTTCAGAATTTATTTGACGGACCAGAAGGTTAATTAACCTATTAGATGACTATCACTTGATTTCTTCAACCACAAACAGTCTAGTTGCAGTATACATGACAGCTTGTCTTGCCAGGTTAACTCACTAACAAGAGAAACCACTGAATGACTCTGATCTCCCCTGCTCCTCATCGCTCATCAGGGAGAACATCGACTTGAACCGTGTGCCTCAGGTCATCCATGAGGCCAGCTGCCACACCAGCCACTCCTGCAGGGGCCTCGACAACACTTTCGGTCTGGAGACCATTCCCGTGTCCCTGAGGATGCCCGTCCTCAAGAAAAACCCCAACTGCTTCCCCACGGCCAGCTACTCTCTGGAGTTTGAGCTCATCACCATAGCTTGTATATGTGCTATCTCCAGGCACAGCTGAAAAGGACGGACTGCTCTAACGTCAACATAGGACAAGCGTGAACATCGAGAATATGTGTTTGATCAGACAGAGCGCATTGACAAGATGGTAGATAGTTTTCTGAGAAATGGTCCATATCACTCACTGTTTTTGTTTTCCAGTGCACACTGCAAACTGTCCCCATTCAATACATATACATGTAATTAAAGGTATTTTACACTAACTGGTATCATTGTGTGCATATGGAGTATTCTGCTCATCAATGCAGGGGTATAGACTTCATCCAGATATTCTATAATGAGACACACTGCAGTGGTGGTGCACAGAGTAGATCAGCTACGTCTTGACACGTTTAATTGAATTATAAGTAAGTATCATTTTTAATGAGTACGTGCAGATCACAATATATAATAACGTCAGAGAGTATCTATCTAGAATTGTCTGGTTCTGTTTCACACATGAAAAGCAGCTCACGTCTACATTATTGTCCCACGTGACTACAACTCAAACAGCTCTCATCTTCTGGCTGATCACAGACTCGACGTGCTGTGGCGATGAAGGCTGAACGAAGGCAGTGTGCTCCGTCACAAAGCGAAACGACAACGACACTTTCATCTGCTGCTGATGTCTCTGGTTGCACCGCTACAAACCAGTACTCACCTTTAGAGAGGATCTTGGAGATGGACTGAGCCAGGGAGGGCTTCTCCGCCACCATCAAAACAGTCCTCATGTTGGAACGCTGCCACTTCCTCCCGTAACGTTTCCGCAACAAGTTCTGCTGCTCAGAAACAGTTCTACAATTCACAAAACATCAACGTTGCCAGTATCTGCTTGTTAGCAGTTTATTTTTCAAGGCACGCGAGCGGCCATGACAGCTCAGGTTATTTGCTTCCGGTCACATGTCTTCTTCTCATGTAATTTGGCAGCGGCGGACACTACGAGGCGTAATACTGCCCTCTGCAGGATCGAATATAACTTACGCCAACACAGGTTCAAGTTTCAAGTTTTATCTGTCGTGTGCAAGTTAACACAGGGTCAGCAGGACAATGAAAGGTTTTTGGCAGCAGTGCAATAGTTTAATTAAAATAAAAG